AAAGGGCAGTTGTAAAATTTATTACAAAGCAATTTCCAATCATGTACAGAATAGCCCTAAGTGATAATGTTGGCTCTTAATTCTTTGTTAGCACCACCAAGTTAATTAATTACATTGATAGCAATGTAGGTAGTACAATAAAATGTGCTTAGAGTATATCTATTATATACTATTATAATATGTCTATTATATATGTTATATATCATATATTATAGTGCATGTATTAAATATTATATCTATTACAATTTTATATTATAACTATATATTATATAATATTATATATAGTATATTATAGTACATCTATTATGTTCTATAAACGTGCTTCCTATTTTATCAGAAATAAATTCAAATTCCTGTTGAGGGATGCTGCTCTTGGTAGAAACACTTGCTATGCCATCCAGAAGACCTGAATTCAGATCTGCAGTACCCAGAGGACAGCCTGGCATGCTGAGACTATCAGTCTCATAGAAACAGTGAAATTCAGATTCAGTGACAAACTGTCACAATGGTGGAGCATAATAGAAGGTGATATCAAATGTCTTTTATTGCCCTCTGTTGTGTGTGCTCCCAGGTGTGCACATGGATACACACTCTCAGACACATGTTATTATGCCAAGAACACACACTTACATAAACTTCTTAAACAAGAAATACGTTACATACCTCTATGACAGAATTTTAATAGTTTCATATATGAATATATTAAAGACAAAATCTAACGTAATGAAACAGCATTAAATCTATCATCAACTTTTGCTACACATTTTCTGTGTATCTAAATGACCAAATAAGGGATTTTGAAGTGACATTTTCTTGATATGGCTCTCACCTAACATTAGATAATGCAAAGAAAGATTTGTTTGATAGGGAATAAGAGCTCATTTGGCCTTTAATCCTGTGCAAAAAGTTTTGCAGTGACTTCACTTCTAATAGATAATTAAGCTCAGAGAAGAAGCAATGGGTGAGACAGTTTAAGGTGATGAATATTCATTCTCTGAAGAATAAAATTCATATTTTATCCTGCAGCATGTCATAATTTATCAACAAATTAAATAATCAGTGTCTACTATGTAGGCTGATTCAGATATATAGAAAGATCAAGGCCAGCTGGGAGAAAAAATATATAAGCAAAAACCATTTCAAAGAATACACCAAGCATCATTTTTGAATATTTTTAGTTTATAGTTCACAATCTATAGACATATGCAGAAATATACACAAGGGGCAGGTATTTATACCACTGTGTGTAATAATGGACTGTGTATACAACAGTGATCTTATTACTTTATTAAACTAAATATTCTTGTCACCTAATGACAACCTATGAATCAATAATTGCATAGATAATACTCTCTCAGGACTTAGGTGATGTAGGTGTCAATTGGAGTTGCTCAGTCATATAAAAGTGTGCAGAGCACATGATACTCCATAATAATAAATGGCTCTCTTGTCTGTTCACATGTCATCAAATTTAGAGTGTTGTTATTATATATAGCTTTCAAAAACTTATTGCAACATACAGGCAGTTACCTGTATGCAGTTACATTTCACAAAGCTGTGTCTCTTGATTTTATGAGGAAGCCACATCAGGCCTAATCCAATCCTATTTGAGATTGAATAGATATTTTCTCTTTTGAGAACAGCATAATGCACTATATATATGAATATAAATTAATCATTTTAACTATTTTTATGTAAATAATCTACCTGATTTTATAAATGAGACTAGTTTAAATCTATATAGTTTACTTTATAGAATAGGAATGCCATGGTCACAGACAACTTAAATCTTAGCAATCAGGAGACAGAGAACTTGAGGCCACCCTGTTCTACATATTGAGTTTTGGGACAGCCAGGACTACATAGACTCAAATATAAAGTTAAATTAAATTCTTTAGAATAGTTCTCAGGCTAGAAACTCGGGGAACATTTCTATATTACAATCTTAAGAAACCGAGTTTTCTTCTTAAATTCACTTCCAACTTTTGAAGAATTTGGCGTATCTGATGAAACTCCATATATATTACCTATGTTATATGAAGTTTAGATGTGAATTTTATCTACCAAGCACCTTTGCTGCAGCTACACTGTTGTACATCAGAATCTGCTAAGGTTGCTATATAAATTGTAATCACTGCAACTACAATATAGGAAAATTCTCATAAATGTTTGCTTAGACAACCAATATACATTACTTCATATTTTCTTAAGTGTCATATGTTCCCAGCATAATTAACTGGCTAAAAGTCAGAACCTAAGACTTGCTGTCCCAGGAACCTAGTGTAAAGCTAAATATTGTTGTTCAAAAATAAATTAATGAAGTCATAAAATGACCCCTAATGGTATCCTAGATCAGTGCCTTGCTTAGCTATCACCAGAGAAGGTTCCTCGTATAGCAGATGGGAACAGATATACAGGAGCATTGCCAGACAACACACAGATATTGAGAGATTGGAATACACATCCCTAAATGGGTTGTCTCCATCAAATCCCTCCCCTCAGAGCTCAGAGAACCCCAAGGAACTCACAGAATGAAGGCAGCTTGTGCAGGGCCTGCATGGTCTGTCCCAGGTCCTCCACATACTTACTGTGGCTTCCAATATGGTGTTTTTATGGGATTTTTGTGTCTGCAAACAAATAAGTCTCTGATTCTTGTGCCTACTTAGGGGCTCTTTCCCTTCTGTTGCTTTGTCCTATACAACTCTGATGTGATTTTGCTTTTTTATTACATTTAATATTGTTATATTTCAAAAATATGAATAAATTAAAACCTCGAAATTAGGATAAAGGTTAACAGCTGAACTCTGATTTATACCTGCTCAGAGAGGGCAATCAGTTTTCTCCAATGGAGTGAAACTAGGTATGTCTTTCCAGAACAATCCTCATGTTTAGGAGTAGATGGCCAACATATAATTGTTTACACAGTTTTTCTGTTATCTTATTTGGTTACAGTTTGGTGAGATTTTTGTTTGTTTGTTTGTTTTTGCTTTTTTGTTTTTGTTTTTTTTGTTTTTCGTTTTTTGTTTTTTTGGTTTTTCGAGACAGGGTTTCTCTGTGTAGCTTTGGAGCCTGTCCTGACACTCGCACTGGAGAAGGAAAGTTTTCTCTAAGGTTTTTCTTCCTGGTGACTCAACCATGTACCTTCTGAAAATCACACATTCAAGGATATTTGAAAAATACAAGCCAATCCTTATGGGTTTTATAGGAAAGCATATGGTTGGTGGGTATAGAAGGTTGGATAGGACCTGAGCAATATTTGGACATGGAAATGAATATGATAAAGGATGTTATATGAAAAAAATCAGAACTGATAATGATATTTTATTATATTATTTTTATTTAAAGAAGGCATTACAGCAAATAATGCAATAGGAAAACTATAACTTTATTACATGCTGAATATTTTTACTCTAAAAGAAAAAAATATAGTGTGGTTAATGTACTCATTGTCACTCCATTGAAGAAATCTGGTCTTCCTTCTGCCAACATTATCAACAGAGAATAGCTTCTTGGGTGATGTGAGACTTTGTGACCATTTCCCTTCCTCCATGCTGTGTTTATCCACCTTGAGCTCGTGCAAGACATATTAATGATTAAGTTGGACTTGATGTAACAAAATACATGATATGAAAATATAGGTTATGCATTTTTATTTACTCAAACAGATTTGAAACTATTTAATACTATTTAATACTGTTTAACCTGTATTTAAAATTTACAAAATGATCTCAATTAACCTCATGTAAAATCCAATTTATGAATTATAACCTTCTTTATAGCGCTATAAAATTATTGCATGTTTCTTTTAAATTTACAAGAAACAGTGACTCATGCATTCACTGAGAAGTTTTTTCAGGAAAAAAAGTCATCCATGACTTGAGCAATACAAAATTTTAAAACATTTATCATTTTAATTCAAATGTAAATCGCAGGTTATAATTCATTTAAATTAATTATTTCCAAGCAAAGTTAACTATTACCAGAAATGAATGAATTAAGCATCAAGCATTGTAAACAATTATTTTCTTGATATAAAAGTTGTCAGTCTGTTTCAGAGTGGCCAAGAGCATTGTGTTGAGGTATATTAAATGGAAATATAGAACAAAACTAACAAGAAGACCACAATCTTAGCTATATTTCAATAAGCGTACCATTTTAGTCAAATTATTTTAAGGTAAATACAAATTTTCAGATTATGATATGAATTCCTTCCCCTGTTAGTCAAATTTCAGAGTTTTGTATAGATAGAAATCCCCTGGATGTCCACATGTACTATTTCATAAATTATTCTTAACACCACACATGTAGATGGAATTTGTGGAGCCCTCTTTTACCACTGTATGTCTTCTTTTTTATGGGTGTGTTTTATTGTTAATGTTTTTGTGTGTAAATGTTGTGTTATGTATGAATACATGCAGAGGGCAGTAGAGGAAGATAGTGGGTTTCTTCTGATTGATAACTCTAGGCCTTATTCCTTTAAGTCAAGGTTTCTCCTTGAGCCTGGATCTACTCTAGCTGTCAGCAAGACCCTTTGACCCTCCTGTTTCAATCAAAACAGCTATAAGCTTATAGATATGGGTGCTGGGGACTTATTTATGCTTGCACAGCAAGTGTTTTTATCCATCATCCAGCACAAAACTTTCGATACCATCCTGTACAATTGTAAAATAGGAACTATTCTTCTTATTTTAAAACATTACTGCTCTCTGTTTCTAGAACATAAAAACATTATGGCCCTAAATAAATAACATTTTAATATTTTGTAGCTTGACAACTTCCTTTTTCAGTCCATGTGTTTACTTCTTCTTCTTCTCCTTTTTTTTTTTTTGTATTTTCTATCAAGAACAATAGAATGCTCTCATTGGGTAAATTTTCCCATGTTCAATTATGCTACAAATGGGGTGGAAATAATAACACCCCTTACTAATTACCAAACCTTCTTTAATATATAAAGAAGTCCAGTAAGAGTGGATCTAAAAGATAAATAAGGTATACTGGGAAGGCTCACCCCAGCAGCAAGTATACTAAATGTGAAATGGTACAGAGAACATTAGCATGAAGCTGTACAAGGATGGCACACAAATTCACAAAGTGTTTCATATTTCTGGAATGAACATGGAATTTGGTAGGGAGAGAAGTGAGAGGATTTGGGTAGAGTTGGGGCTGGCAAGAGAGTATGATCAAGATATATTATATGAATAAAATAAAGAAATTTTAAAAAGAAATACTAGACACCAACAACTCATTGCCCAGGTAGCAAACATGGAAAAGTGTTGACCTTCCCTATGTACCTTGAAATTCAAAAACAGAGACTGGTTTTACTGAGACAAATGCTATCATTTTATAAAATTTAAAATGATGTCTGACATTCAAGGAAAACAATACTGACTTGATTGTCTTATTTAACTCACAGGATTTTTTCATATTTAAAAATTTGGTGTGGGATTTATGTTTACATGTATTGGTGCATGTACAGAGTTGAGTTTGAGGTTTGTATCTGCAAAAGTGCACTGAGTCCAGAGAGAGAGAGACAGAGAGAGAGAGAGAGAGAGAGAGAGAGAGAGAGAGAGAGAGAGAGAGAGAGAGAGAGATCTTATCTCTTTCTCTATTGCTTAAACTGGCCAGAGAGCTAGGGAGACCATCCCCTTTCACACTCTCATAGTATCACAGTATCAAAAAGCACTTTCAGTTTCTGAATCATTGTTATTTGAATTTCCTGAGAAAAGATTTTCTACTGTACCAGTGTGTGATCATCACTCTGTTATGAACAGTTGCTATTTCTATGTCTAATTATTGTGACAAATAAGAAATAGTTGCTTCAGTTTTACTTTGTCATCCTTATGTAAAGTGAAAACATGGAAATCACATAACCAACAATAATGCTTTACAAGTCAGCATCAAATAAAACTCATTATCCAATTATTGCCATTTTGAGAGGAAAATCAAATATTTAAAAATAGTTGTTTTGCATCTTTATTTGTAGAATAAACTGGTAATACATTAAATGATGTAATTTTTTGTTGAAATCCCTTCCAGGGGATGAGGCAATGCTTCAGTGTTTAAGAAGGAAGCTCAGTTGCTCACAGTCATCCCCTGCTTGGACTCAGGCACAGTTCCCAGAACCAACATATGGCTGTGCACAACTGCCTCTAAGTCCAGCTCCAGAAAGATATTTCACCTCTGACACGCAAGGCCTCTGCACTCATGTGCTTGTACATATGCACTCATATAAATAAAAATCTTAAATGTGAAAAACAAATCCTTCTATGTTTCAGTATTTTAGAAATTAAATATAAAATGCTCTGTATATTTATACAAAACAAGATATGCTTTCTTGATTCACCTATTAGGCATGCAGTTCCAAGAATTAGCCAGATATGTATAATGTTAGGAGATTCTTACACACTCTAGAAACGTATTATTATATACTTGAAGAATGCATTCCCCATAGTATTATTATGTTTAAAATTTGACCAAAAATGTTGAAATTTCTTCAAAGTTACAGTTTGTATTTACTCTATTTTTCTATTGATTTATGTGTTAAGCTGTGTGTCTCTGACTGAACATTACTTTTGGGAGTTTGGCTGAAGATGCCAAAGAGGATATAATAATTCTACAGGTGCCTGGTTACCACTTGACCTGGACAGAGGAAACCCTACTCATGTTCTTGGGAAAAGCAGCAAGCATTCCTAACTTCTGAGTTATCATTATAACTCCTTAATCAGTTATTTACTGATGGAATGAATTTTCTTTTCTGCATATACAAACCCAGAACTTCATTCCTGTTAAGGCAGAACTTCACCACCACACTACATCACAAATACAATTTCAAATTGCAGTAATTTCTATTGAGATTTTCTTTACAACTATGACTTTTTAATTAAGATAGGGTTCTCTATACACATAATAAATTATGAAGTAAGCTCATAGTAATCCTGCTAAATGAGAAATATTTTACAGTTCTAATTAACAGTGTGAAAATATTGCTGGTTAAATATCTCAAGCGTTGCTTCCAAGCTTGCAAATATATTTTATACTATAATTTGTTTAATTTCATGTTATACATATAAAATTTATAATATACATCTTCTTGTGTTTATTGTCTTAAAAAGTTTTCATACCTCTTTCAATCCAAGATTTTCAATTACCCCAGCTCCACATCCTCTGTACTTCCTTACCATACTTAAAGTTTTTACTTTCTCAAACTAAATAAGTCTTCAGATACAAAAAAAGGAAAGCAAACAATAAAAAATACTGTAGCAAGATATCAAGTCATGAGGCTGGAGTGATGATTCAGTAATTAATAGTACTGAATGCTTTTCAATGTTCAATTCCCTGAAACTATTGGGAGACTCACAATCATTGTAACTCTAGTTTCAGGGAATCCAATGCCCTCTTTTGTACAGAACTAGTGCACTTGGTGTATAGGTGTATAAGCAGGTAAACACTAATGCAAAAACCAAAATAAGAACACAAAACGGGAGTAATAGTTACTCATGAGGACAATTCCTCCCCTAGAGTGTGAATGATACAAACATTCCATTGAAAAAAGATTTTCCCTCTCTCGGCATGTCTTAATACTTTCTAGAGATAAAACTTTGTGCCACTTCCCTCTCTCTTGCTCAGTTTTTTGTTTACTTTGTACTTCTGAAGGTTGTATGGGTATTATTATTAAAGTCTTTGTGAATTCATATGTGCATTAGCCATTTTGGGTCTGGAAGAAATTTTTTCCTTACAATTCTCTATTACCTCTGGTTATTAAAATATTTCTGTCTCCTCTTCCACATAGATCTCTGAACCGTGAGTGGAAGGTATAATAAAAACATTCCAAAATTATCGCATTCTGCACATTGTCCAGATCCGTATCTCCCTAATCTTTACCATCAGCCAGAACAAAAACATTCTTTCATGAAAATTGAGCCATATATTGAACTGGCGGCCAAATGTAGAGGTTTATGGGTACCTGGTTCTGCAGACATGGGCTAGGATAAATGGAAGAAGGTGACAGAAAGAAGAATTAGGGAGATCTGGGCCAGCAAGCCGATTCCCAGTGGTATTAATTGATCAGTATCCTACTGTAGCAGAAACATGAATAGCATGAAAACCACTCTTCACTGGATGTGGGGTCATAGCTTTAACTTAACAATACCTAGTAAAATGCTATCACAAAGTGTTTATTTCTATACCTTATAATGAATAAATTTAAAAATCAAATGTTAAAACCCTATGTATCCTTTGTATGGACATCAGCCCTCTGTCAGATGTGGGATTGGTGAAGATCTTTTCCCATTCTGTGGGTTGTTGTTTTGTCTTACTGACTGTGTCCAGTGCCTCACAGAAGCTTCTCAGTTTCAGGATGTCTCATTTATTAATTGTTGATCACAATGTCTATGCTACTGGTGTTATGTCCAGGAAGTGGTTTCCTGTACCAATTCATTCAAGGGTACCTCCCACTGTCTCTTCTAAGAGATTTAGTGTGGCTGGATTTATGTTGAGGTCTTTGATTCATTTGGACTTAAGTTTTGTGCATGGTGATAGATATAGATCTATCTGCAATCTTCTACATGTCCAAATCCATTTTTGCCAGCACCATTTGTTGATGATGCTTTGTTTTTCCATTGTATGAATTTAAATTCTTTGTTAAAAATCAGGTATTCATGTGTGTGGGTTAATATTGGGGTTTTCAGTTTGATTCCATTGGACAGGGTTGTTTTGGCTATCCTGTGCTTTTTGTTTTTCCATATAAAGTTCAGTATTGTATTTTCAATGTCCGTGAAGAACTGTGTTGGGATTCTGATGGGGATCGCATTGAATCTGTAGATTGATTTTGGCAAGATTGACATTTTTAAGATGTTGATCCTACCTATCCAAGAGCAAGGGAGGCCTTTCCATTTTCTGGTATCTTTTTAAATTTCTTTCTTAAAGGACTCAAAGTTCTTACTATACATATCTTTCTCTTTTTTGGTTAGCATTACCCCAAAATATTTTATGTTGTTTGCAGATATTGTAAAGGGTGAGTGCTTCTCTGATTTCTTTCTCATTAACTTTATCATCTGTATACAGTAGGGCTACTAATTCTTTTGAGTTAATTTTGTATCCTGCTACTTTGCTGAGGGTGTTTATCAGCTGTAGGAGTTCCTTGGTAGAATTTTTCATATCACTTATGTAAACAATCATATCATCTGAGAATAGTGAAATTTAGTCTTCTTTCTTTCCAATTTGTATCCCCTTGATCTCCATTTGTTGTCTTATTGCTCTAGCTATAAATTCAATGACAATATTGAAGAGCTATGGAGAGAGTGGACAGCCTTGTCTTGTTCCTTATTTCAGAGGAATCATTTTGAGTTTCTCTCCACTTAGTTTGATGTTGGCTGTTGGTTTGCTGTATATTGCTTATATCATGTTTAGGTATGTTCCTATTATTCCTGTTCTCTCTGAGATCTTTATCATGAAGGGGTGCTGGATTTTGTCAAAGGCTTTTTCAGCATCTAGTGAGATGATCATGTTTTTTTTCAGTTTGTTTATATGGTGGATTACATCGATGGCTGATATCCAAAATATACAATGAACTCAATAAACTAGCCACCCAAATGCCAAACTATGAAATTTAAAAGTGGGGTTCAAAACTAAATAGTGAATTCCCAACAGAGGAATCTAAAATAGCTGAAAGCACTTAAGAAAGTGCTCAAAATCCTTAGCCATAAGGGAAATGCAACTCAAAACAACTGTGACATACCATCTTACACCAGCCAGAATGGTTAAAATAAAATACACCAATGACAGTCTATGCTGGGGAGGATATGGAGAAAAAGAACATTCCTCCATTGCTGAAGGGAGTGCAAACTTGTAAGACCACTTTGGAAATCAGACCAAAGTATTACCAGCCTACAATCCATATCACCAAAGGAACTAGGAAACAAGGAGAACACTAAGAGAAGATTGCATTGACCCCAGATAAGGGGAAGGGGACAGGATCTCCTGAGTAAATTTGGAACATGAGGGTAGGGGAGAGGGAGGGGGAAGAGGAGGGGAGAGGTGGAAATGACGGAGTAGGAAGGTTGAATTGGGGGAAGAATAGAGGAGAGCAGGATGAGAGATACCATAAC